ACGCCGGACAGACGGTATGCCTATCGTCATTCACTTTTGATGACGTTACAATTGAACATGTGCTAATCGGCACGAGGCTATCCAAAGTTTTAATGAATTTCATATTATCAAGACAGCGGATTTTCTTAAACGCTGGAACGACAAGGTCCAAAGACTGGGGACAAGAGGACATTTAAAATACCAACTTTCACAGCATTGTAAACTGGATATAAGGAAAATTGTTTTTGGTCTGTGCGTAGTCAAAGTATGGAACAATCTCTAAAAACAAGTAATCTCGGCACCAACAGTAAATACTTTAACAAACAGATTAGATAAGCACTGGGAAGATAATAATAAACTTTATTTATTGAGGATACAAAACCTGTTTAGCAAAGCTAATCTTCACAGGGTCCTTTGTTAGTAAAATTGGTTAGTTAAAAGACAAAGTAGTATCACAGCAAATAAATGTACATAAAATAATTGTTGGTCTACTAAAACAGCAATTCATATCACAGTTATTTTAAAATGAAGATCAAGAACTTTTATATAATTATAAGTCTGAAATTCTATAGAAATTGGAACTGTTGTCACAGTTGATTTATTAAATATATTGTTATTATTGTTCATTTGAGTCCATTGTAGAGGATTCTTAAATAATCCTGTACCGGTAATAAACTTAATAGTATATTCCGCGTTTCAAAAGATTGAGCTTATCTACCAAAATTATGCTTTCAACTGCAAATTAATTTAAAGGTGTTTCCTGTCGAATAAAGATATGTACAGTTGCAAAATCATCTTTCCTGCCTGCTGATAATGTCGTTCACAGAGAAAATTACAGATACATGTACAGGAAGCCAGAATAAGCATTTTAAAAGTGCAAATTAGAGGAGAACCTAGCTGTTCCAACATGGCTGGCAATTACATTTTACTGAATAGGTAATATGTTAGGAGGCTGTAAATGATCTCGCTGGATGAGTGGTATCATACATATGTCTACAAAGAAGTTCTGTTCAAGGTTTATAGTGGGTAATTCCCAGTTGTGGTTTCCCTAGCTAGGTACAATGTACCTTAACGGTATACTACACTGCAGGAGTAGTTCTAAGTGATATTTATTTATCACAATCTTTATGATACGATGAAAGGAGAATTAACTTTGTAAAGCTTCATCACAATGTCTTATTAATTACCAATATTTTACTAATAATACAAAATCACTTTTTACCAATTTCAAAGCTTGGTATATAAAATGATTGAAACTTTGTTTTAATACCACATCAGGAAAATATATTGTGACAGAATATAGATTAAGTATGAAATGTTAAGTACTTATACTCAACAGATCATTTCAGGAGACAAATCTGTTGTGTTTAGGTATATGAAGTATACCACACTAACCTCCACAGATACAATTATTACATTTACAGTTGTCCAATTTGTTTTTGGTACAATTTCATATATTTATTAATACAATTTTTGCCTAAAGAGAGTTTTATTCACATAAGTTATTAAAACATAGTCTCTGTATCAAGAGACGCCTTTATCGATGTTTATAACCATTTCTGAAAGATCTAAAATGAAAACAGCAAATCAAAGAAACTCATACATTATTTATTTTTTACCATAATCTGATTGACTTTTATCGGCGGTTTCTAGCAGCCCTACAGATAGAATCCACTAGAATGGTAAATACAGTGACAATAACAGCACATAAGTAGGACCTCTATACTGTGTACAGCTACGGTAGCTAGGTATAATCGTTATACCTGTGATTTGTGTTGGAGCTACCTCCCTTTATTTTTGTGTAACCTCTTTGTTTGAAACTTTTCAGGTAAGCATGGTATGACACAGTTAGGTAGGCATGGTATGACACAGGTAGGTAGGCATGGTATGACACAGGTAGGTAGGCATGTTATGATACAGGTAGGTAGGCATGGTATGGCACAGGTAGGTAAGCATGGTATGACACATGTAGGTAGGCATGGTATGACACAGTTAGGTAGGCATGTTATGACACAGTTAGGTAGGCATGGTATGGCACAGGTAGGTAAGCATGGTATGACACAGGTAGGTAGGCATGTTATGACACAGGTAGGTAGGCATGGTATGGCACAGGTAGGTAAGCCTGGTATGACACAGGTAGGTAGGCATGGTATGACACAGGTAGGTAGGCATGTTATGATACAGGTAGGTAGGCATGGTATGGCACAGGTAGGTAAGCCTGGTATGACACAGGTAGGTAGGCATGGTATGACACAGTTAGGTAAGCATGGTACGACACAGATAGGTAGGCATGGTATGACACAGTTAGGTACGCATGGAATGACACAGTTAGGTAAGCATGGTATGACACAGGTAGGTAAGCATGGTATGACACAGTTAGGTAAGCATGGTACGACACAGATAGGTAGGCATGGTATGACACAGTTAGGTACGCATGGAATGACACAGTTAGGTAAGCATGGTATGACACAGGTAGGTAGGCATGTTATGACACAGGTAGGTAGGCCTGGTATGGCACAGGTAGGTAAGCATGGTATGACACATGTAGGTAGGCATGGTATGACACAGTTAGGTAGGCATGTTATGACACAGTTAGGTAGGCATGGTATGGCACAGGTAGGTAAGCATGGTATGACACAGTTAGGAAAGCATGGTATGACACAGGTAGGTAGGCATGGTATGACACAGGTAGGTAGGCATGGTATGACACAGTTAGGTAAGCATGGTATGACACAGTTAGGTAAGCATGGTATGGCACAGTTAAGTAAGACACATTCCTTAATTGTTCTTTAATCATGCATGTACCTACATGAATAATTATAGACAATAAGTTAAATTTCAAAAGCCATATACAAGCCGCAGTAAACAAAGCGAATTAAGTACTTGGAGCCATTAGAAGAACTTACACATTTTTGGACTACAAAACATTCTGCCTGTTATACAAAGCTTTAGTACGACCACACTTGGAATATGAGCCTGCGTTTGGAAACCATACAAACAACAGGTTATCAACCTTTTGGAAAACGTTCAGCGGAGAGCTACCAAATTACTGCCAGGGATGAAGGATATTTCATACGAGGAAAGATTGCATAGACTTAAACTTCCATCATTATATCACTATATTACATGTATATAATTATTATTTGAAGGACTGTGATCTGAATATAGAGGCAAATGTATATGCCTGCGTTCAGAATAATCTAAGTTAATCTAATCTAAGTTAATGAATACAAATTTCATGGTAAAAAAATCCATCTAAAATATAGATATCCAGAGAAAGAAAGACATAAATCATTGATTATGTATCGTTTTTCTGTGTTTGGTCAACAGGGAAAATGAAAACTTGCTTTTGCTAGGCTTTATGTTTTTTTCATGTATTTTCACGAAATGTGATATAGGTCCATAACTCTAAAGTACAAAGACACAGATTAATTGTTACACTTAAAAAGCAATAAATACAAGAGGCCCACAGGGCCTTAAAGGGACAATTTTAGTGAAGTAAGTTTTTTTTATAATCTTGTCACAAAATTCTTCATGATGATAATATAGTTTGACACTCCTTATGAACAATTCATGTTGAGAAATTGACAAAAGCAATGTTTTCTTGGCGTTTTTAATCATTAATGAAGAAATCCTTAACTGTACAGCCGTACGTTTTAGCGGCAGCTGTCGGTGAATTTCTAGCTAACAAAAATGTCTTTCCAGCCGAGGAGAGAAGGTAAATCCTCGCTTTATTCACCTAGCCTCTCTGGAATACAAGTACATGTATTTATTCCGAATCAAAATCATTTTCAAACAGCATCACAAACATCGTTATACATGAGTGATCTATTTTACGTTTCAGCCTATCGATGTCGTACTTTCTGCGGTTTGAAATTCTCCCTGCGGCACCCTCTCAGTACGTGCATGTTCTAATTGATCCATTCTTTTTATTCAAATCCAAATGTAAACTGAAATATCTGATTATAGGTAAATATTATGATACTTTTAATTCTTACTTGCAATGTATTGTGTAAATTAAAGAATGTGATATGTGTAAACTCAAGACTGGTAGCTATCACTGTACGTGTTTTTGTCCGACAGCGTAGTGCTGTACATGTGCTTTCCCAAAATGTGAAACTCACCACACTGGATGTTGGCTTCAGACCATGTCATTGTCAACTACATACACTTTCGTTAGGAGATATATATTTTCAGTATAGACTAAATTTTCAGGTTTTCATTTGCCTAAATTATATAAGCCCCTGTAAAGTCACATGAGTTCAAATCAAAATTGTCGCACCAAATCAGAGCCACAGTGGCCATCTTGGATTTTCATGAAAAGTTAAATTGTGGACCTCATACAGAACATTTGCACCATGTTTAGAGTAAATCAGTTCTGATATTTATTAGAAAAAGTTGAAATTACCTCAGCAAATCAGGGTTGCCAACTTGAATATTCAAACTGGCGTGTAAAGTATGAACACTTGTTGGAAACCTCAGGAAAAAAACCACTTGTACCAAATTAGGAGTCAATCAGTGCAGCTGTTCTTTATAAGAAATCAAAATGTTTCAGCCAATCAGATACTAGTGCAGCCATCTTGGATATTTGGATTGGCACGGGAAGTAAGAAGATTTGTTGGGGACATCAGAAACATTTGTACAATTGGCCATTCTTGAGAAGAAGTCAAATAATGCCTCAGCCAATCAGAGGCCATGTTGGCAATCCTGGATTTTTGGATTGGTACAGAAAGTTAAATAGACTATTTTTTATGACATAATAAATGTCCATACAGCAGCACAACCAGTCAAATGTTCATATGTAGGACTTTTTCAAAAAGTAGTACAATTTGTGATGTGACCCTTCATTAGACAACTGACCAGTATATGATCACTGAGGCGTGCAAAATGTACGCGAATTCATGATAAGGTTATATCTTAGCCAAAATGACTTGTCAAAAGAATGATAAAAGAATAAACTTACATCCAATGTTGTTGTAACTTAGAGGAATAATGTTGATATAGAGTAATATTTTACTCACCCTGTATACTGAAGCACTCTACACTGAGTGATATGTTTGTAATCTGTATGTCCAATTTATGGAAAGGACTGTAGCGAGTACTAGTGACAATCCACTGTAAATTGAAGCTGAAAGTACAAAATATTTCAGGCTTTTACACATCATTTGTAAACCACGTTCTTACACACTCATTGATAACATTTAAAGTACATCAATAGTTATTTGAATAATCATCAATTAAAACAATGTAAGCAAAGGCTTATATACATAAACCACAAACCTGGCTTTCCTCTAAAGTTGTCACTTGTGACTTATTCAGTTGTTGATCTAAAGATTACCATATACTTATGCAAATATAAAGAATAAGTTGAAATCTTACCTTCCCTTGGGGTCTTTGAGAGGTACAACTATATTTTCCCAGTAATTTATTGTATCGTTGAAATGTGCTAGCACTGTAGACCCTTCATCACAAAATGTATTCATCACTAATTTCAGGGGTGTGGACGATTTACGGAGGAAAAACCTGACCTGAAAATGGAAAGAAAAAATCTTAATTTCATATTACATAACCAAAAACGCTGACCTGATATAGGAAAAAAAAATCTTAATTTCATATTGCATAACTTCGTACTAGATGATAATATTTGTCATGATTGTTAGGTAGGTAATTACCATTACTAGAAGTCTTCATATCATGAGTTATTAAGATATTAAACAATATCCCAAAACTACCCTTCATACAACAAGTACTACATTATTCAGAACTAGCTATAACTGACATCTGGAAGTTTCAATAAAGTTGGCCTGTTACTTAAGATGGAGTTTTCCGGACAAGTGATTTCGCATAAAAGGCTGTAATGACCTTATAAAGTGTATATATCTGAAATTAAAATGCTGGTGCACAACTACATAATATACTGATCATTCAAGTGAAGTTTCAATAACATCTGCCTATTAGTTAAGATGGAGTTTTCTGGACAAGTTACGGCGAACGACAGAAAGGCAATGGGTGATTCCAGTATACCCCCCTAACTTCGTTGCGGGGGCTATAATAACTTTGTTGCAGGGGATATAATAACGTCGTTGCGGGGGATATAATCAAGACAAACATTTGGATTTTTATTTAGAACAATGTCTTCACCATGACAGTGTCTATTGACTTTTTTTTTATCCCAAAATCAATAGAGATTCTCTTCATCTCAACAGAAGTCATGCTACTAAGTCAGAAGTTTTGGACAGATTATAACTCCTTCTTATAGAGTCTGAAATTCATTCTATCAGTGCTCTGTGACCTTAACCATTCCCTTTTTTTTACTCCAATATTAGTCTATCTCCTCCTCAATTCAATGAACCCATAGTTACTCATCTTGCAACACTTGAAAGTCATAGGTGAACATATGTCTACAAAATAAGGAGACCTTGATCTGGACTGACATTTTCATCTTAAAATAAGAGTTGTTTTCTTGTCACTTCATATGAAGAAATAAAATAATATGCTTCTTTGAGTCTGAGAATGATTTTAACATGTCAGGTCATTTTGATCTTGACCTTTTGACACCAAAATCAAAAGTGTCCCTACAAGATTCCTAGACAGTCATCCTGTTGTATATGTAGAACAATACTAAAAAACTATACAAGTCTGGTCCAGAAACGAAAGATTATAGATGGGCAAGGTACCATCTGATGGTCCCCCATTGATCCCCCTATCATGTAAACCAGTAGCAATGACAGTTTGGCTGTGTTTATGGAGTCCTGTTCACAGCTAAGGGGTTAATCTAAGGACGTACCCCTGAGTGTGTAATGTGTGTGAGTATACTGGAAGCAGTGTGTTGGTTTTAGGACTTTTGTTTTGTTTCTTCATTCCAAGGACAAAACCCAGGAACCTTCCACACTGTGGTTTTAGGAGCTTTTTGATTTTTGTTGTTGTTTTTTCGTTCCAGGGACAGAACCAATGAACCTTCCATACTGAGATATACTCTTAACACGTACACCTAAAACGAGGTACCTTTATTGCCAAATCTTTCCTAAGACCTCAGCAGAAAATTTCTTTCATCTTTTTGTTTTAAGTCAAAATAGTCATGCAGTCGTTTGTGTTTAACACTACAGTTTCAAGAGTCACATCGACTTAGATCACTTTAGCTCTTTCAAAGTATTGAAGCCTAATGAATTCCAGTGGAAGTATCTTGTTTTATTTTCCAGATATCTCTTGAGATTTTAATTTGATCCATTTCAAAGTTGAAATACATTTAAACTGCGTATTGCTTGTTTTATCACCAACTGTTAGTACAAGTTTAGCAGTTAAATTTGTTAGACCGAAACTGTACAGACAGATAAGATGGAGTGACAAATAAGTCTGGTGCAAACTTCCAGTTTAACAGGACTAATCAGGTATACCTTGCACATGTTTAAATACGGTGAGCTGGAATCAAACACCTGGGCAGAAGGCTGGATGTAGGTTGAGCTCTCCAGGACTGCACAGTCCAACCACTTAAAGCCTGGGAGATTCGTGTTAACAAAACCTGCAAAAAAAACAGTGTACAGGGTAACCTTGTCAACTCAGACTCAACTATCAACTAACCTTGTCAACTCAGGCTCAACTATCAGCTTACTTTGTCAACTCAGGCTCAACTATCATCTTACCCTGTCAACTCAGGCTCAACTATCAAATAACCTTGTCAACTCAGGCTCGACAGTTAAATAACCTTGTCAACTCAGGCTCAACTATCAACTTATCTTGTTAACTCAGTCTCAACTATCAACTAAACCAATCGATTCTGGATCAACTAGCAACTAACCTTGTTCACTGAGGCTTAACAGTAAAGTAACCTGTCAAATAGGGCTAAACATTCAACTAACCTTAGTGTTAACTTAGGCTCAATTATCAACTTACTTTGTCAACTCAGGCTCTACTAACAGCTTACTTTGTCAACTCAGGCTCAACTATCAACTTACCCTGTCAACTCAGGCTCAACTATCAATTAACCTTGTCAACTCAGGCTCGACAGTTAAATAACCTTGTCAACTCAGGCTCAACTATCAGCTTACCTTGTCAACTCAGGCTCAACTATCAACTTATCTTGTTAACTCAGTCTCAACTATCATCTTACCTTGTCAACTCAGGCTCAACTATCAACTAAACCAATCAATTCTGGAT